GATTTTGTCATGTTTACCCTGTGGTGTTGTTGCCACGTGGCGTTTTGTCAAGAGCTGCGCGAAGCGTCCAGGTGAACACAAAGATGACTGGAGTGATACAAAGTTTCAGCTTGTTGGCAGGCGATTCAGGGTTGTTGTGAACAGTCGCTTCAGCAACACTAGGAAGTCAGTCAAGCATCTATACTCTTCCCAGAACTTGAAGAAAGGTGCGCTGTCATGTCCATGGTTATCAACATTCAGACTTATATCATGCTGCAAAGGTAAGGTAGCTGCTGAAAGAATACTGCAGCTGAATCAGCGGAGACTGCCGCAATGACCAGGAACTTTTTGTGGCAGAGACAACTACGCACAAGCATACTTTCTAAGTAGCTTGCCCGAACAGCCCAAACACCCTGAGCTGTCTGAGCTAAGCAAAAGCAGGACAGTTGTCAAAAACTGCGCCTGAGATTGGTTTGAAGAGGTGGACCTTTCGAATTGGAACTGCTCGATAGCTTGGGCCCGTGCCACAGCTTTGAAAAAACAGAAGGATGCATTGAACCAAAAGATCCAGGGCAGCTATATGTACATATAATATGCCTTGTTCCTCCAGCTCAATGCGGCCTTACTGGCACGCTAGTTTGAAAAACAAAGTTATTGGAGTTAGGCAGTTTATGTCACACGCCGTCACGTGTTCCCGTTCCTTTTCGGAAGGTTGCTTCCTCAGGACAATAAAAAGAATGGAAGGTAAGGTATGTATTTTCAAGCAAACAAAGACAAAACAATTGTCAAGACAAAGAAGCTCTCATCGGTGACGCTAGAGCGCCTTAAGGCGAAACGGTGCAAAGTTTGTTTGGGATGCGCAGAATGTGCCTCTTGCGCAGTTCCATGCTGTTGAGGTCCGAATGATAGCGTTGCTTGAAGTGTCCTGCGACATGTTAGGTCTGATAGGTGACTTGCCAGTGACGTCCACACATGCACTCAATTTCACAAGGATTGCAGAAAATTGCCCACAGCCCCTTCACTCCAACCCAAGATCATAGGCGCGGCCAGACTTCCAATTGCTCGCCTCGCACGATTCTTAGTATTGGAGGCATCCTCACCTTGCATGACTGGCAAATCAATTTTGCTCCTTTGAGGTGCGCAAGTGCATGTTGGGTCGGTAAAACGGACAGACGGCGAGAACGGTTCAGGTTGACTTTTGCTTTCCGAGCCACCTTGAAAGCTGCCTGAACGGTTTGAGCGCAAAAAGAAAACATCGCGCAGACGTGCCCAAAGCCCTTGTGACGCAGCTGCCTTGTGGCATCTCTTCACGTGGGACACCCACATGCCATTGATACAGAGGATTGAAAGCTTCACGGCCTTTGCATCTTCCCATGCCTGTGTTTTCCCCCACCTTGCGCGTTTCGGTCATTCTAGCCTATCGGTCCAAGCGCATAGCTTAAGCTTTGATTCGTCGGTCTGCAGCAGCGACAACAGCCCAAGTTTTAAAGTGCTTCAAAAGGTTCGAGATGAAAAGCAGGGCAAGAATGTTGGCATTCCGGGAAGTCCCTTTGTCAAAGCTTACCATCGTAACAGTCAATGCTTCCATGCAGCTTTGCTGCGGGTGCCTTTGGCTCAAACATGTGATGTTTTTTTCAACAACGTCAGTACATTGCGTTGAAAAAGTTGAATTCTTCAGCCGACGTTGGGCTTTGCAGTGGGATGGCAATATTCCACAGTCAATTGCCCAAACCAATATGGCTCTGGTAAAGTGTACTCTTCCATTCAAGCAGTTCTTCCTGCACACGAGATTTGCAGAATCTCTATGTCATAGGCGTGTGTCAATGTCCGGAATTGTGGCAAGCAGTTTTGGCAAGTCATTTCTGCCAATTGAACATACATGGAATGCTATTTCCCAAAAGGGCCTCTCAAGATGAGAGTGCTCGAACTCAAAGTCCAAGTTTGCCTCGAAGCTCAAACTTCCAGCTTTCACGGCAGCGCGCCTATCTAACAACGTGGGTAATTCATGCAGATGTTCAATTGTTGTCTGTTTCCTTCCTCACAGCCAAAGAGCCTACGATCAACCCACATAGTAGTCATTTTTCTTCCAGAAGCTGCTGGAAGCGGCTTAAGCATCATGATACGTTCCAAATTTGGCCAGCTATGGGCATTTGCAGGGCAAGTAGCCTTCATTCTACTGGCATGCCTTTGATTCCGAATGCACCTCGCCATGGCAGCATTGCGTGCGCCAGCCCAGGCTTGATGGCCTCCCTAAGAGCCATGGCCTCCACCTAATTGCAACACTGCCGCATTGGCTAAGCTCAGGCAATCTGAGAATCTGCGGAAGTTGCTCTGCCAAAACAGGTGTGCAAAGCATTGTGGGCGCTGACGTCATGACACCGGGCGCTGAATGCATCAATTCATGTGGCAAAAAACCGCTCAATTTCCTGCGAGCAAGGCGGCTCAGGATGTTTCTGCTGTTTATTCTTGAACTAGACGCATCTCATGTCATTTTGACAGCAGCTACTTAACATCATAATACTGTAGTAGTAGTAGGACACTGTTGTTGTGTATCATGTCAGAGTCCTCCCGTGCCATAGAAACTGACGAGGCGTGCGAGATGAACTTCAGAACAAAGGTTCAACAAAACCCAGTCGCATCATGAATGCAGTCCCAGTTCTCTTGCCAAGTGAATGCAAGTGAAGTTCACAAATTTCCACTTTTCACTTGGAAAGCATTTCACTGAGCTCTTTTCTTTTCACTATTTCTCCCCACTTTTCTTTGTGCGAAGGCACCTCATGGAGAAGCTCGGAAGCGGCCCAAGCACTCCGATGAGGCCGAACCCCTTCCGACTCCTCGCGAGTGTGGTGTGGCGCCGTACTTTTTGTATTCTATTTCTTTTCTTTCTTGCTATTACTACTATTCTTATTGTTATGTATATCCGGTGCTTTTGTCATTTTTTAAGAGCCCTTTTCAAGCATTATTTCCTTTCTTTCCCTTGTCAATCATTTCTGTATGTCCTTTTGTGTTTTGTTTTTGTGGTGCTGTTGAGGCGACACATTTCTTAAGAGCCCTTTTCAAGCATTATCACGAAAGCTAGCACCAGCTAGCTGGAGTTGTCCTTGCTTTAGCAAGTGAGGGGCTGGAATCCTCGGGATCGCCGCATCACGTGAAAATTTCATATGTAGGGGGGGCCCCCCCCCCCCCCGTGGGTTCAACTCTCCCCTCGGACGCCTCTGGGACACCTCTCGGGCATCTCTTATGGCATCCACTTTGGCTTAACTCCTCCGGGATACGGTGCAACAGATTCAACAAGCTCACATGTTCATGACATCGACATCGATAGAAGAAACCAAACAAATCATGCAAGCAGCTTTGTTTTGCCTCTGGGACACCTCTTGGGCACCTCTTATGGCATCCACACTGCAGTGGAGGTTTTGGGATACGGTGCAACAGATTCAACAAGCTCACAGGTTCGTGAACACCTCGGATGCATCGAACAATGTGGCAAAGTCCAGCCACGCTTCCTTAATTATCGGGGACTTCAATTCTAAGGTTGGCTGTGTCATTGCTGTTTGTGTGTCTTACATGTTCACAACGTTTTACCTCATGAGCATTTGCCTCACTCCGCTTGATGTCCCACAAGTCCGGATGCACCCCTGCTAGCTTTCGTCACCTACCCTCGGCCTCAAGTTTCCTTTCTTTCCCTTGTCAATCATTTCTGTATGTCCTTTTGTGTTTTGTTTTTGTGGTGCTGTTGAGGCGACATTTCTCACCATGGATGGTGCAGCCGTGTGGACCAGGCCACCCCCCGGCTCCTGTTGGGGACTCCCAGTTTCCGATGTTGACTGCATCTTGATACAGACACATGTCCTAATAGCGATGGCCTCCAACCTAGCAATGACCTCCAACTTAGTAGCGATGACCTCCAATTCAATCTTGATACACATGATTTTTGAGGGTAACACACAGTGTGCGACAAACCTTGGCTTGGCTGGGCGCAGCACCAAGGCTGGTCAACAGCTGAAAGTTTGGGGCGTGGAGGAGGCTTGTGGCCATGTGGACAACCATGCAGCCCCACAGACTTCACATGTCGGACGCTACTAGGGGCTCCTGGCCTCGCTACTAGTAACACGAACGCTACTAGGGGCTCCTTCTTAGAATTGAATTAGAATTGACTTCACCTCGAAACTCTCTTGCTCTGCCCAGGTTTGGAGTGCAGCGCGAGCAGAGGCGCCGCCAAAGCCAAAGCCAAAGCGCCGGCGAGAGCTGACGGAGGGGTCACTATGGACTCGCATTTCAGATGAGGCTGAACATGTGTTTCTCTTGTTTTCTTTTTCTGTTTCTCTTAACCTCAAAATATAGACCCTTTTCTTTCTTTTAACATTTCTTTCGGTAGACCTTTCTTTTCTTTCTTGTTTAAGGTGGATTGCCTCAAAGGAGACTGCACTCAGATTAAGAGATGCTGCATTGCCTCACCTCCGTAGGCGTTGTCCGAAATTGCAGAGCAGCCGGGATACCAATACGTTGAGAACATGTCCATTAGCAGCTTGGCAGATACGCCTTACTAGTAGAAACAAGAAGCTACTAGGAACAAGTGCATCGCTTCTAGTAACAAGTGC